TATATATATATTTGGCAAATAAAAATATTGAAGTTTGGCTTCTTATTAAAATGGGAACAAACATGCAAAGGCCAAAAGCAACAATATTTCTGTGTTATATCAGCAGAACACTAAAGGAACACTTTCTTGGTGATACATCATTCTTGTGGTGATGCTATGAGCAGTATTACTGTCTCTATGTCATAATTTGATATAAATAGTCATGGCTATCATAGAAGTGAATGAGAATGCATTACAAATTGGTTAATCAGATCATTTAGCTCCAGTTAAGCCTTTCAGTGAACTGAAAGGAGATGAAATAATCGCGAAATGAAAAGTACAAGCTCACTACAGCCAAAAATTAGTTATGACCAAGTAATGAGTTGGGATTCTCTTCCATTATTGGACAGATCCAATAGCCATCAAATCATTCTGATTACAATAAGAAGATCCACTGTGCCTGTTGCAGGGTAGCTTGATAGCATCTGTGCAAGTATCTAAAATGACCCAACCTGCTACTCTATAGGAATGACAATGGCCAAGGTACTGATGCATTTAGTTTCTACTATTTTAACCACATTGTCATCCCTACATTACTTTCTTTAATGAAAAAAAAGGTTCATTAATTATAATTATGCCACACACAGACCAAATGGCACAAGATTGTCCGAATAGAGGTCATAAACAGATTACAGAACAGAGCCTTAGTTTCAAGGTAAGAGATCAAAGTTCAAGTCACAATAGCAATTTCTCTACTTGCAAGGATAAAACTACATACATCAACCTTCCCTAGTTCCCATATTGATAAAATGATCTTCTGAAGTCCTAGTTGCAATCTGTACGAGTCCTGATAGAGTGCTACAAAAATCCTGAAGCCTGCTAATACATGAAGTTTGGACTAACAAAGAACTGTTCATTTATGTTAAAAAATTTAAACTTGGCATAACAAAGAAGAATGGAGATCACTGTTCTTTTTGTCCTATAACATCTTAGCTTCCTACCAATAATTTAAGTAACTAGGTCAGCCATACAACTACCTAAAACTTCAGCTTTTAATTTCTTTACATACTCTAGATGTTCAGATGTCCATCTACACAGATAAATAAAGTTGATAACTAGCATGTCCACATAAGTTCTTATGTACAACAGTTTGGTACCAACTTACCATTAGGACTCAAGACTACTTCCAAGAAGAAGAATCAACACATTAAAAGAGTAAGAATGCAAGTGGACAATCTTAGTGTGAAGATCCTTTAAATCATCTCAATATTCTTAAATATACAAGAAAATGCTCAGAAAACACTATGATATTACACATCCAATATTTGTTTCAATTTCAAAGGACATACACAATCACATCTTCCTTAAATTGTCTAACCTTGACTGGAGTTCATTGTCTATTCCACTATCTCCATTTCCAGCTGCTTCAGGTTGGGCAACCTTGTTAGCTGCCTCAGGTTTGGCCACGGCAGTTGAAGGTGCCTTGACAAGCTGTGGAGGTACATAAACAGATCAGATGAAATAGTTAGTCCTCGAACCGAAAGAAAAAAGGCAAAGCTTCAAATTGAAGTTTCACGGTCAAGAGCCTTTGGAACATCTACCTCTGCATTGATATCTACTCCAATTTCATCCAGGACCTGATTCACTAGTTCTTCTGTTTCTTCTTCTTCAGCATCTCCTTCCAAGGCATCATCTATTGCATCTCCCATTACCTCACTTACCATTTCCATCTTCTCATTCTGCAGTTCAAACTCTTGCATTATCTTCTGCAATGCTGGTAGGTTCATCTGCCTGTTCATCTGTGCCATAGCCTTGGTGACACCTTTCATGGCCTCACCCATTGCTTGTGTTGACTTCAGTGTCTGCAAGCAACAAACATGGTGGTGATTATGCTGATCATGAAGGGATTCTAGTACATCACTTATTTGGAACTTAAATATATCGACATTGCATATTATTTCCTGATACAGATGTGAGGTGTATGACTCTATGTTGAAGATGCAATACCAACATCCATAAAAAGGTTGATCAAATGCTCCTCGTAAACATTGTGTCCTACATCTGTTAGTATATGCCTTTTAATTTAAATCTTTGTTTTGCCAATCTTTTCGAGCAAATTGCATCCGGAAGTTGTAAGTTCAACTGCGCTAATAAGTTCTACTTCCTCTTATACAATCATGAAAAATCCATAGTTTCTTAGGTAAATTTTAAATGCATAAAACAACTCTTTCCTGGTCCTGTCTTCTTAAGAGGCTCTTAATATTTTTTTTATTTTATCTGGAGGAGAGAGTCCATTCTTTCCATTCTGTCCTTGGCCTTATTTCTTCTCTTAGCAATGAGGAAACAATAACTATTTCCAAATTTCATATGTTTCTTCTTTTATCCTTCATTTTCTTTCAAAATCAAAATATCTAGAGTTCTACCTTAAAATCAAACATGAATGAAGAATTATGGTTTGTCCTATTTTCACCCAAGATATTTAAGAGTCTCATTAGATGATTTATTTCTACTTTCACTTAAAAGGATACACAGAATCCTCAAGATATCTAGAGTTCTCCCTGATGTTCCTGTGTTGTTTCTTAACTCTAAATCAAAATAGTATTAACAAATAACTCATTGGACATGTTCCCTGAGATTTATTTTCAATGATGGGCATTATCAGAAGCTAAAAGTCAAAAACTAAATGCTGCTCTATACAGCTTACATTAACAAAATCACAAAGGTTAAAAAACTTTTAAAGATTGAAGCTCGATAAAATGAACTTCGTACTAAGACAGCATGTGTTCAACATTTTCACCTGCAACCGAGATCAGCTTAAACATTGAAAGAAACTTATTTTACTAGTGAATGCCAACAAAAAGTGAACAACTTTTACAAGAACCGGAATATGATTTAGAATAATCCTCACAAAATTAGTTCTTCCTATCGTATTTTACCTTTTTCCACAAACATAATGATTGTTCTACACAATGTCCCAATAATCTAATCTGAAAACCAAAACTTACCTGAATTCTAAGTGATACACCTTGCAGCTGTGACTTGAGGGCATAAAACTTAGTAATCTGATGCCTTGTTCGAATAAGATCTTTCGCCATGACTTTTACTGCTGCCTGTAGAAATCCAACAAGCAAACAAACGAATCAGAATAGCTGGGATACCACCCAAGTAAAGGGAAAAGAAAATGAAGAAAAATTGGGTCAAGCAAATTAATGTCCTTCTACGACGATGGACATCTTTTATGATGTTCAATTTTATTACTCAAGGTTAATTTAAAAAAAAAATCAGAAAGTCCAAGACTCTTAACCAATGGTATTGGCTAACAAGACAAACTTATCCATGCTTTGTGTCTGGTGATGAAGAAGCCGACTTAGATATGTAGAAAAATACCTTACCCTCTTGTTTTACTGCTCCCCTTCCTTTTTATTTTCCTTCTTCAACATGTAATCATTATTCGTTTTTATAAATATACGAAAGATGATTCATCTCTTTAACCCTAACTCCAACCAAACACGCCATGGTTCAAACATTAATCATGCACAATAAGATGGATCCGTAGCGTCAGAACTAATGTTTTTGAGGAATCATACTTCAAACTCCAAAATTCTTCATTTAGAATACTAGGTAGTTGCAAAAGGACATACCATCTGCCCTTGCTTCGCAGTTTTCTTAATCTCAGCAATTAGCTTTTTCTCCTGCGTTTGGAGCCCTTGCCTCTCCCTCTCTATGTCCCTGATTGATTTATCTAACATTCTCTTATTCTCCCGCAGCAGTTCTGGTTGGATTCAGAAAGCAACAAAAAATAAAATTAAATTAATGAAAGATGCCACCAAAACACAATATATCAATCATCATCGAAGCAAGAACCCCAACAAAAGAAATCGAGATATCCTAATTCACATACTAAAATCGAGCGCACAAAGAGAGCGCCATAAAATAAATCCAATACCACAAACCTAAGCGGAAAAACTGTTTATTTCATGAACATCACGCTCAGATCAGGGGAAACATCACGTAGAGTACTAAAAATTAAATCCCAAGATGGGTTTTTTATACTTCCTTCCGTACGCAAAATTCATAATATTAAGAAAAAAATCCCAAAAAGATATCTACAAATGAACAATGATGGGAAGAACACCTGCTGGGGTTTTCTTTTTGCCGAAGATGAAACTCATGTTTAGCAATCAGGTTTGACGATTACTCTTCGCCCTCTCCTTTCGCGGGTAGAATAGAATATATGGAAGAACTCGATCAACGGAAATCGCGTTCTCTTCTTATCTGCTTCTCTACGTCTTCCCCTTTTCCTTCCTTCTTTGATCGTTCGACGCCGACGACGCGGTTGGAACTCGGAAGGTTCGGAAAGGTCTTTCGCACATCGGTAAATAGACAAAATCGTCTCTACATGCCTGTGAGATACCCAATTCCATTACCTCTCTTGTGATTAGTGAATCACAGGGCCAGAAGGGACCCACTAACATCTCGAATTACATATCCTTGATCTGTGTGGGTCATCATCGGCTGGTATAGTAACTATTTTATCGACATTTTGCGTGTGTTCCCCCCTGCCATACCTTATTTATGATTGGAGAATAAGGAGGCCCCCCATGCTGGACCCAGTGCTTTCTCCGATCAAACATAAAGATTTTATTACGAATAAACGGAAACATGTGCAAGAAGAAGAACCATTCTTTGTTATCATCAAATTGAGTTGAGTTGATCTAATATTAATCTAAATGATGATTCTTATTGAGCAATTCAGACCTAATATTACACAGCTTTATATTCGTTTGTAAGAATCAATATAGGTCATAACCTTATACAGAGAATAAAAAGATTAAAAATGTATCATCATAACTTATGTTTTGTATTGTAAGATTATCGATTGAGAATTAACTCGAGGCATATGAGAATGAGATCGTCTTAACTATTTTACCCTTCATATTATGTCGTAAGGCTAAAAATATTTTTGAGTTTTATATAATAAAAATTAGGGATGCCAAGACGATGGTGTGGGGAATGCTTCTTATATCCCTATCCTCAACTCATTCTCATTTAGACGAGCGGATGTAGGGATGGAGAATCTTGTTTAGGGCGGGGTGCTCATGGGTTTTTTTATATATTTTTCTAGTTAATTCATTCGATTTTAAAAATAAAACTACTATCAAATCTAGTTAATATTATTAAAATTTATACTAATAAAAATAAATATATTTTAATATAAATAAATTTAAAATTACCATAACTCGTTGGAGAGACAAAGAGAAGATGGAGGATGATCGTAGAACGACGCAAGGGAGGGGATGGAGGCTGCGATGGTCGATGAGGTGGCATTGCAAGGTAGGTGGGGACAATTATAATGAGGGAGCGGGGGCTGTGACGACTATAATGAGAGAATGTTATAATAAAAGAGGAATTTAGAAAAAAAAAAAAAGGGAGCGGAGGAAGAAGAAGAGAAAGAGAAACGAATATCGGAGAATCACTGTTGTCATTCACTATTTACTGTTTGCAATGATTGATTATCGGATGAATCATTATTTGTTGATAGAGAGAGAAAAAGGACCAATGAAGATAAAATCAAGCAATCACTGATCACTATAGCGTCACCTACAATTAGGAATTGGGGTAATTGTTACTATTGAACGAGAAGTTGTTTCATTTGATTCAATTGAACCAAATGATTCTTAATTGAATCATAAGACAATCAAAATTCACCTAGTTTAATTTTAATAATAAAAGTTTAGCACATCTTGCATTTTAATAAATCAAGCATGACTACGAGTAGTAGCGGGGAGTACTCTACTCGTCCTCATCTCCTATTTGCATTAGAAATATAAAATATTTTTCATCCTTATTTATTTTTTCTTGATCATCCTCACGTATTAGAAGCGGATTCGCACTGATACACATATCGACAAGTATAATTGGCATCCCTAATAAAAATAAAAATAAATTTTTTTAATAAAACAAATTAGAATCGACAATAGTATTTTTTGCCTTGTAAATATTTTCTTAAAAAAACACTTAAAAAGAAAAAAATATATATTATGAACATTCCTCCAATATATTAAAAGCTTTTATAACCAAATTCAAGAGCTCTATGCCTCCTAAGTTAGATTAAACCAATGGCGATATAAACCATCATCATTGTTGTACCGAAGCATAAACATCGTATTTACATAAAATAAAAGCTAAATGATCTCCAATTTGGCAAGAGTTGCATGATAGTACGGAAGAAAACTCAACCTATGCACCTTTAGATTTGAGTAGTTAATGTAGGTGGTTTGCTCATCTAACCCCGAACCTTTCGTTAGTTGGCCCTTCCTCCTTGAATGCACTCACACGATTGCATGACCAACAAATGTCTCCAATCTATTATGAAAATTATCATTTATTTTACTCTCTTATGTGTTAATCAATTAATTATTTTGGTCAACGCTCCTACCTTCAACCATATTCCATGACCCCTCATTCCTTATTGATGACCCATTATATTTATGAGATACTGAGTGATTCTTTCATCGCATAATTATCGAGTCACATCAATATTGATACATAGCATCGACAGCTATATTATCTTCATTCATCGTCCATCGTTATTAAAATTATTTTTTTATATCATTTTTATGATAAAATTGATAATATTAGGATAAATAATATTAGATATTTTATTTTCATAATAATAAAGATTTTAATATAAATTTTTAAATTAAAAATAGAATGTTGAAGAAGTATAACTATATTTGATAATATAATTAATTTGTCAATCCACAGTCAAAATTTTTGAAGACAAATGCATAATGTTGTAGATTTATCACAAGCAATTCGTTTGCACACCGCAATCAATCGTTTTGGTTAGCTGCTCTCCTACCTTCAACCACATTCCACCCTCATTGATGACTCGTCCTATCGATGAGAGGCGCGTGCGATCGCATGCACGTAAATGAACGGTGGAGGGAGAGGGAATCTTTAATCCAACGGTTCTTGTGAACCGTAAGCGGCGAGGAGGAATCGAAGTACGCCTCTTCCGACCCAAACTGCGCTCATTAAAGCCGGCCAACGCCCTCGGATCAAGTCGAGATCCGTCGGCATAAATGGTGCAGATGAGCCGTCGTCTCTGATTGTGATCCGCGAGGGCCGTCCGCTTCTTCTCCTCGTTTGGCCGCGCTGAGTTGGGCGCATTCCGAGGTCGGGAAGGATGAAGGTAACGGTTGTTTCGCGCAGCGGGAGGGAGGTCATCAAGGGCGGGATTGAGCTCCACGATGAGGTACCTTTTCTCCTTCTCCATTGTTTCTTTCTTCTCGAGAGAAAAGATTGGTTTTTGGTGCTTCCGGAGAGGGTTTGTCTCAAGAATCCGGTGAAAGATTCGTTTTCCAGTAGTTCAGTCTGTTGTTTTGTGTTGCTCATCTTTCGTTGAGTCTATGAATCATGTCGATCTGTGCGTTACCGATCGATTTAAAGCAAAAAAGTTTCTTTCTTGATGTGTTTTCAGGCCACTGTGAGCGATCTACAGGAAGCTATCCATGCCCGAAGTAAGTTTCTTGGAAACCCTTCTTAGGTGACTCGAGATATTTCTCTCTTTCTTTTCCGTGTTCTGAGTGATTCATGTAGCAGATTAACCATGAGATACGCCTGTTGAAACAACAATATGGAGCCTTATTAGGATAAATATCTTGTATCACTATGTTCCAGTATATCTTTTCAGGTCTAATTTTTTGTAGATGTAATTGAGGATTTAGTCTATTTTACCTACTGATTATTAATATTGTGGATCTATGTTAATGTTCTTTTATGATTCTCATATCTTATGCTCTTCTGGTTGAATATTATGTCATCCAGATGGTTCTCCTTATTCATTCAGTGAGTTGACTTCTCTTTGGGAAAACAAAAGCACAGTGCTTTTACCTCCTTATGGAAACTTGGAATTCATTACTAACATGAATTTGGAAATAATGCTTCAATAAAAGCTACATGTTTATGTAACATCCGGTTTATATGGAAATATATGGCATTCAACAAATAGTCCATTTAAAAATGATTATATAGTCTTCTGAGTTAACTCTTACAGATTATTGGATATGCTGCAGAATTGCTACCTTGTGGTCCATTTCTTTTGCTTCATATTTTCACATGCCTGATTTCTGTACTCTGGTCGTATCGATCCCTTGCAGAAAGCTGTATCCAAATATTGTAATTTATTTTTGATTGTCGATCATCATCATTGGTTAACTTTTGGTATTATTATTATCATCATCATCATTACTTCAGCACAAGCTTCCAATGGAAACAAACCAGTGATGTAGATATAGTTGTTATATTACAGTTATCCCATAGTTCTAAGCTTGGCAAGATGAGACAAATTGATCTGTAAGTCTTTTCTTATACTTTCAAAATCATGCAGTTATTTTAACGCAACCTGTCTGTCTTATTCATCTGTTCAATTATACTTTTAATTCTTACATTGAGTCATGTATGCTTTCTCAAATTCTTGAGCTATTTTACTAACGTTAATCATTTAATTGTCACCCTCTCAAATTGCAGCCAAAAAGTACTATCCTTCAAGACAGCGACTTACCTTGCCAATGCAAGCTGGGATCCAGGGAAAACCAATTGTCCTTAGTCCAAAGAAAAAGCTTGTAGACTATTGTGATGGGAATGTCAAGAATCTGACTGTGGTCTTCAAGGATTTAGGAGTGCAGGTCTTATACAGAACACTTTTCTTCTGGGAGTACTTGGGTCCTTTGGTTATCTACCCTATCTTCTACTATTTTCCAGTATACAAGTACTTCGGCTATGAGGGTGAACGTGTTGTTTACCCAGTCCAGACATATGCTATGTATTACTGGTGTCTTCATTACTCCAAGCGTATCATGGAGACTTTCTTCGTTCACAGATTCAGCCATGCAACATCACCTCTCTCCAATGTCTTCAGGAACTGTGCCTATTATTGGACTTTTGGTGCATACATTGCATACTATGTGAATCACCCCATGTATACACCTGTCAATGATCTGCAAATGAAGATTGGTTTTGGATTTGGGTTGATATGCCAGGTTTCAAACTTTTACTGCCATATATTGTTGAGGAACCTCAGAAACCCCAATGGTAATGGTGGTTATCAGATTCCTCATGGGTTTTTGTTCAACATAGTGACTTGTGCAAACTACACAACGGAGATCTATCAATGGCTTGGTTTCAATATTGCAACCCAAACAATAGCAGGTTACGTGTTCCTTGTGGTGGCTGCTCTCATTATGACTAACTGGGCCCTCGCGAAACACCGTCGGCTCAAGAAGGTAAACCGATAGAACTTTCTTGGTTGTGCAGGGATCTCTTATCACTGTCTTGATGCCTGAGATTTGAATCATTACTATATGCCACAACATGATACATGACTTGTTCATTGTAACAATTGTATATTCTGGTCAAAATTGTTCAACATAGAAATTAGTTTGGCATGTCTGTTTCATTGCATTTAGTTCTCACACCTACTCTTTGTTGCAGTTATTTGATGGAAAAGAAGGACGACCAAGGTATCCACGGCGCTGGGTGATACTTCCTCCATTCATCTAAGTAACAGCTGCTTTGTCGGTACTTGCTTCTAGAGTTTGGAACTTAAAAAGCATCAACATGATATGGGGATTTGGAACAACAATCGATTACCGAACTATGTATTTGCAATGTATCACTGAAATGTCTTCTTGAGCAAGATCTCTAGTTGTTTGATTTCTTGATGAACAAACATTAAACTTTATGAACTGTCTTTTAATTTACTGATGCACTGTTTCATGCAAGGAAACAATTTTAAAAGGTATTATGGTTTTTTCTGTTCTGTTCTTGCTATATACATAGTGTGCTTGAAAGGGCCTCGTGTGTTTCTTGTGGATCCACACCCTAGAAATCACAAGGCAACGAGAGCTTCTCTGGTTATGAAACCTGATAGCTTCCATGTTGGTACTGCAATTTGTGAAAGCTAGATGAACATGATAAATTAGAGCCAAGTCACTGCAATTATCTTACACTTGGCAAATTATCCTAAAGGGGCCATGATCTCCCTTAGTGCAACTGAAGATGCCAATAAGGAGATTCATGATGATAAATATGATCCTTGTTTTACCCATCACATCAGGGTCTAAATTATATCTGATGCTGAATTGTATGTAAAACAGTGCTATGAATACAAGCATGGTGATAAAAGCAAAATGGTCATGATGATTTAGAAAATAAACCCAAGAAAACAACTTGAGATAATATTTTAGATTACAAACATTAGTTTGTCACATACATACCATTTTGGTTACAACTAATACAACAACAAGAACGGCAACAATGCATACCGGTCCATTGGATGGGCTTCCGAGGACAAGTAACATGCTGCACCATCAAACCAGAAAGCAGCGTTAGACATCAAAGTAGATTGTCGATCTTCCGAGGAGCAACTCTATTGTTGCCACGGTCAGCTAAGCTCTATTGTTACTTCCAATTTAACTAAAGTTACAAGTTCTTTGATCTGGATTCTAGTCGATAAGGTTAACATCACCCGAAAATTTCTCTGGCTGTCCTTCTGAACATGTCATGCACCTAGAAAATTTACAATAGTTAAGCTGCATGTCACTAATTCTCATCAATACTATATGAAAAAGGAAACGCCATGCATATATCTATATATCTATTTTATAGCTCATGACCAAATAAGCATCTCATTGTTTTATGAGACGCTTGTGGTTTTATGGAAGAATAAGCAAAATACTGGCACTGAGAAAGTGTGGTGATGTGTTTAAAATAGACCGATGGGCACTAGAAAGCTTGATGGTCTACCTGCTTTGAAGACAGGCCTATCTTCTCCAGGTCAGACAACTGTAACCATTCAAAATACTGTTTTAGCAATCAGCGAAAGTCAAATACATAAATCTAACTTGAATTGTTTAATAACAACTTACTGATTTCATTGGATTGGGTGTTTCTTCTCGCAGATCAAGTATGTATTCTGCTCTTTTTTGACCAATACCCTTGGTTAAGGAAAGTAAAAGTCAACTATGGATAAAAAAATTTGTTGTTTGTGAGATTTTTAATAATGGGTTTTGCATGCTACCTTTAATTGCAGTAGCTCCTCTCTGAAAGCAAAATTGAGTGAAAGTTAGTCATTTCGCAGTTTTGAATGAGAAACAGCACTCAACATAAAATTGAACTTCACTTCCATTTGCATTTATTTTTTGTGCTAAGGAAAAGTCTGAAACTTTGAAACAGTTCAAAACGATTCTCACTATTGAATAGTTTGAGTCATCAAAAAAGGCATATCATTATCTGAGTTAATCTTAGAACTATAGTAGATGCCCCTTCCATAGAGACTGTAAGGCAAAAATTCTCTTAGCAAATACTTATGTTTTGTGACCTAAACAACATCAGAATAAAAGTTCCAGCCTAAAGTATTAAATCAACATCTTTGTTGAAACTAAAATGCCCATCCATGATCTTCATGGATCTGCATATTAGCATGCCCTTTTTCAGCTAGCTATGTGCCAAGTTTCTCATTACCCATTTCCATTGCTGAGAATAACTGAGATTACATGTGTATCTGACATCTATCTTGCAGCCTGTTCCATTTAGGTATGGCATGTTTTTGTTTCATATTTTCATCAATATTTGTCTTTGTTCCAATTGAAGTTGTCGTGTACAAGAAAAACAAGCAAAAAATTAGATGAAAAATGAAAATAATGAAGAACAATGTTCAAGAACACATACAAAAACATCAACGATAAAACCGTAAAACTGTTCATGATGCATAAAAGAAGAGCAGCACTTCAGTTGATATAAATCCCATATAAAGAATTTATCGAGTAGCATTACAAATTTTATATGTCATTCAAAGATCAGATTTCTCAGCATGCGACCATTTTATGAAATCAACAAAAAGGAAGATGCGAACCAACCTTAAATAGACTTTTAAACACAGAACAGTGAACTTGAACTATCCAGTTTAAGATCATGGGTATATTTTAAGCTTGATATCAGACACTTTCAGTTTTTTTTTTTCTTAATTTTGATCTGGTCTTATATTTTAGTAGCTGATATCTGTAACATTGAAAATAAATAGACTTCAAAATGTTTTCACTTGATCTCCACCACACTATTAATCCACACGATTAATTACATCTCAGTGGCCTGTCAGTTAAATTTCTGTGGTGCAACTGGCACTGACAATCTAGTGGCATGTAATTAATCCACACTATTAACTACATCTCAGTAGCATGTCAGATCAATTTCTGTGGTTTCCTATTATAATTTACTTAATGATTTAAGTTATGTAGTACTATGGTTCAACCTAACCATATTGTTACGGATTTAATTAGATTTTCCTAAATCGTACGATATCCTTGGGTGTCTATTCGCAAAGAGTTAAGACAAGTTAGAGAAAGCGTTTAACTTGGGATCCCATAACTAAACATTTTAGTAAATACTTGATAGGCAATACAAATTACAAATATAGAACTTGCAAGCTTTGAACGGTCACGTAACAAAAAGTCCAAGGAGGTCCACACAGCCAAAAATCCTCGTGACCCTCTCACCCACCATTCCATGGGTCAGCCCTCCGTTGAGTTTGATCTCTACATCAGCTTTAAGTATGTCTTCGTTAAGTGTTACCTTGGGTTACTCCCTCACTTGATATCAATGCATCTATCAATGCATTACCTCTTGCGAGAACATGCAATGACTCCTCGTTGCTCACTTGGTCCATTAAACTTTATGGAATTCGGTCTTGAGATACTCCCTCAACATGTGCGATCCATTGCATATGAGTCATCTCTCTCTAGAGAACCTAGACTTATCCCTCCTAGATATTTGTCTCATTAGAGCAACTTTCCTCTTCGTATCCTTCTTTCTAGAAGTTTTAGAGACTATCATCCCCTTGGACTACTTCTCCTTACTGAATAAACTGTGCACAATTCCATCACCACGAATACACTTGTTAAATTGTGACTCTTCACCAATACAACCCCTACTGCACCTCTCAAATCCTAGTAATATGCTACACTTCAATCTCCTATAGGCATATCCTTCTTATACCTAAAAGAAAATTTTCATGCTCCATGACGTCGAGTTTCAGTCATCTTGAGATGGCCATGAATAGTCCGTCTCCAAATACAAGCCATTGAATGAGTTTCAAATTCTTTGAGTTAACAAGTCTCCCGCCTCCGCAAACTTTGCATAATTCTTTCGTGCTAAACAACTCATCCCTCCTTACATGATTTCATCCTTTGCTAAATGCTTCCGCTTGCATTGAGCACTATCAATTTTGGTTCCCAACATTGAGCCGTAACTCAAACTCAACCATCCCAACCTTTGTACACTATGTGTTCTACCCAACTAGCTTGTCCACATGATGCCTCTCGCGTGAAGGGTTAGTCATTCCTTTTAGATGCTCGCTCCTCAAATGGTCATATGTGTTGGCTGCCCTCAACGCAGCCATGCTAAGTCCTCCACGTTTTTATACCAAATGTTCCTGAGTATTCTTGTCCCACTCTGATACCATATGTCACGAATTTAATTAGATTTACTCAAGTAGTATGACACCCTTGCGTATCCATCCACAAAGGGTTAGAGGAAGTATTTAACTCGGGATCCCACAAGCAGATATTTCAGCAAACACTTGATAAATAATGTAAATTACAAATATAGAATTTGCAAACTCCAAACAATCATGATAAAGGATTTAAGGAGGTCTGTTGTGATCAAAAGTCCCCACAAATACCTACGTAATACTACTACAGAATAAAGCAACGAACTAATCCTAGATATTATCCTAAAGACTCATCCAATCATATGTTACCTAGGTAGCTCTAAGGTGCTATACTGGCTGACACTCACTTTACAAGGCTAGAAAACCTCAAAATAGTTGTCTAGATGATATGTTTTTGGATAGTTTTGTCTTTGTACGATGAATGCGCACAATCTACGTTTACAGGACTAAAACAACCATAAAAACTAACGAAAAATAGGATTGTCAAACATGTTATAAACCCTCTACATATTATGTAAAGCATGAATAAAACCAAAAGATATTGACATATATAAATATTACATCAAATACCTTGTATACTAATTTGTTCATGTCAATATGTCACTCGATTCACTCTATAGAAACAGTAAATATACAAATTGACATCCTTATTTCGTATGCCATCAGATTTTCTTTTTGATAAACCATTCGATGATTCATTGATATAAAGTCATAATTAAAAATAATTAAGCACCATACATAAAGAAATCAGAAGATCGTAGTATTTCTGAGGTCAAAAGCAAAACTTACTTGCTAGCAATATTCAAGAATGTTAAATACTCTTGAACAAGAGTCTCCTGCACATCATTGTGAGTTAGTCAGTATTGTAATCCATATCCACTTGTCAATACGTGTGATCTGTGGTAACACTAACCTTCAAGTTTGAGCTGGATACTTTGAATTTATCAAGTGGAGTGTCATTCATTCTGAAATCATCCTTGCTATAATTTGTGTTAGGAGTTTTTGGATCTAATAAAATAAGATTCTTGCAGTCATCTGACAACTTGCTAATTGAAGTCGTATTTGAAGACAATGGTGAGAGAACTTTTCTTAAAGAGTTATGAACTTCTTTAATCCTTTCAGTGGCTGCCGGTGATCCCATGCAGTCCGTAGGAGTGAGGAGCACATTCTCTTTGTTAAAGGGTGTGTCTGAATGAACATGAGATAAGGAGGTTATAAACTTTCTGGCTGAAGACCTTGCCTTGATATTCCATAATCCAAAATTTAAATAAATAAAAATTAGTAGTACCTAGTAAATTTGATGTCTTCAAGGAATTGATTTCAGCAACATAGTGGTCAGATCTGGTTTTGTCACGGACCGGCAGAACCTATAAGAGAAAATTTGATTTAAAACTAGTATGTCTTTGTTGCTTTCTTAGAAATAGTATGTTCCGAAGTCACCTTAGTTCTACCTGAATGCTGATATCTTGAGAAGTCATGTATGGTCCAGGTGTCCCATGCTAAAGAAACACAAAAATGTTTAATGTGAATGAAAATCTTAAATTCATTATGCCTCAGAAATTCAACATGGCAGACATCCAATCTTGAAAAATACTAAAATTTTACACTGATTAGTACGAGAGCCAAACCTGAGAGAGGTTTAACTGAATCTTGTTTGACAAAGTTTGCTCGTGGTCTTGACATGCCTCTTCCTTGAAAATGATTGCAGAGTCATCCTGCCTAATATCACACCAGGCTAGTATATCTTCTTCACATGGATGTAGATTCTGATTCAAGAAACTCAAACCTTATATTTAGAGTCCAAAAACTGTTGCAAAATGCATCACTCTGCAGTGAAAAACTTACTTCACTTAGAAGTAATTGATCCTTGGAAGTAGTATCACTCGATGTTATTGATTCCTAAAAACGAAATGAAACAAAAGATCATACACCTGGTAACTTCTTAGCATAGTGGTCATCAAGTATGGGTCAACAGATAACTGGAATTTACCTGCATACTAGTTGAAGCTGGAGCCTCCGAATCAAATAGTCTTCTGCTGACACATACCATAAAGGAATGAAGCAACCTATAGCTAAAAGCAAAGGAAAGAATCCACAAAAACCGTGCATTTTAAAGCAACACGAGAAAACTAACCTCCCCTTGGTTTTTGAGACATCTTTTGCAGAAGAACATATTGATCCTTCTTTCTTTGAATGGATTGTGGAGGACGGGGGTTTGGACACAAATGTCCGACAAGGTCCTAGCATTCTCTGAACACTTTTTGTCTTTCCCTTCGAATCAAGCCAAGCTCGTAGCTTCGCCTCCATGTCAACTTTCACCTTCGGAGTCTCTTTCTTGCTTGCCAGACCAACATAATTCACGACTTTTCTACTTCGAGCAGCCAAACTAACTGTGTGGACAGCCTCTTGGTATGAGGCAGGATTCTGCATCGAACTTTCAGTAAGTTTTACAAAAACAACAATTGCTATCTACATATTATCATGACAAGAAGAATGATTCCTACAAGACATGCTATCATCAAAGCACGACTCGTCCCTCCCAGCGAATCCTGCAGTATCCGGGTCAATTTGCTCTCTCGGTACGGAATCCGTGGCTGGTTGTTGTTGAGAGCATAAATTACATTCGACAAGGCGAACAAGGACTGATTGATCTTTGCGCTCTCCTGGAGGCGGATTCCCTCGTTACAGGTTCTCCTATTATCTTCGTTACCTGCGAACACACAAACAGGTGGGCACAAATAGGCACTTTCCAGTCACACCGAGAAGCCAAACAGGAAAAGTTTGACCTTTGACGACGGATCTGACCTGCCAAGTCTATGAGATTTAGCTTCCCTTTGACGGCACCATTCGTGACAGCGATCGCAAGCACTGCGTGGCTCCTACTCGAGACATCGTTGAGGCCCGTCCGTGCAACCTTTCTCCTCTGAACACCGGTGTCGAACACTTCATGGAACTCATCCATCGAGCGTATCTGAGCCTAAGATCACCGAATAGAAAGAAAGTTAAAACTATCTATGAGCTGAAAAGAGGTTGAGAAGATTCCTAATTGGTGACGAGATGATACCCAGGAGAGTCCCTTGAGCCGGACTCTTCCGTCCTTATCATCCATAGCGATGATCTCCTTCGCCTTTGGCTCCAACAAGTCATAACATCGGTCCATGTAGATCTCGAAGAACGATATCTCCACGGAACAGTCCTCCGTGTTCTCGCATGAGGACAAGACGGCCGAAATCGCTAATGTAATCATCCCTGGTTCGCCCTCTGCGCCCTGCTTCAGGAATCGATTCGGCATGATATCTTGCTACTACTACTACAAAACAGAACAAAAAAGGAATAAAGAACCAGCGATCGTTGCGCTGCTGCCTCGCCTGCATCGTGTAGGTCTTCCCGCTCCCGGTGGCACCGTAGGCGAAGACCGTCGCGTTCAACCCTCGGAGGACACCCGGGATCACGGCGCTGACCTCCTGCTGGAAGATCTGGCCGACGCGATCGCCTTGGCCGAAGAAGGAGTCCAACTTGTAGCATTCGCTCCGGCTGTGAAGATTCCAGTGTCACCATCAAGAGACGAAGCTGTCGAGGAGGTCGAGAAATCACGAAGACCCACGCACCTGGTCCATTGATCTTTCAGGTGCACGGTGACTTCCTCGCCGACGCCGCGATCGGACTCGAGGAGGTTAACGCAGGGGATCGAGCACTCGCCGTTGGAGTCGATCTCCGAAGGTAGAAAGGGGCGCACCCGCAGCACCACCCTCACGGGGGACGGGATCGAAGAGGCGAGATGCTTCGCGGAGTTCGACGCTTCGTTAGCCATGAGAAGGGTTCGAATCGAGCTTTGCGCCGGTTTGCAGAATATGGATCGAATCGAGCGGGGAAGTTTTAAGTTGGGAGCACCTAAGCATCAGCACTCGTGGGGCTATCGTACCGGTGTAGTAAAGTGGTGAATTCTGTTCGACATGGTTCATGAAATCCCACGACCGTTAGGTCAGTTTTCGGTTTGAATTAAAGCTGCGGAGCGGTTTAAATTTGAAAAGACGCGCCCGACGCCAGCCGAGTCGGTTCAATTTTGGTTCAGGGGTAGTTTCAACGGTGGATCGAAGAGGAGCATGCAAATCCAACGGTATTCATGAATCACAAACCGCCACAGTCGAAGGGCCGCGTTTCTGCATGCAGTTGTGACTTCAACATGCGAGGTAAATTTAGTAGAATTAAATATCCATAAGTCAAAATAAATTTATATAAATTTAGTAGAATAAAGAAGATTTTATATTAAAAGAAGTTAACAAAAAAAGAATAGACCAAAGAAGCTTTTATAATAAAAAAAAGAAAAATTAGTAGAATAACTATTTATATAAATTAAAAATAAAGAATTTTGATCGACTTTCTTAGTTGTTCTCTCAGAATCATAATCCATTTCTGTTCGCGTGAGTCAAATTATCTGTGCATCTAAAACAATGACAATGAATGGTATTAGAGATCTGTCCTCGTCGTCCATCTTAATATCATGAAGAGACTTGAGCTTCAAGATTCACTCGATATCGTCAATTACAAAAATGACAGTACATGAGCTGCTCTCTAGCTAAAAGCACTCGACAACATCATTACAGATGATCCAGTAACTTATACAGAGTCCACAACCTTACTTCAACTTCATTCATGAAGCAAGACTTTGACTTGTGATGGCCAGATAAAGACTCCAAACGTCGTCGAATCTGCTTCTGAGCTTGCTTGAGCTACATATACTTGCAAGTCCCGTAGCCTGTCGAGCATCAGGAAGAATGGTTATGTTGTAGGATTTAATGAGATGTGATCCTTAAGGGTTTTGGATGCGTCTTACTGGGATCAGTGGTGGTGATGATGGCGCTGCCGGAGAAGTCGCAGTCGAACTCGTGCTGCCCGGCCGCCTTGTAGAAGGCGTTCATGGCGTATGCGGCGTGGGAGTGCAGGGAGTTGGGCGAGAAGCACGCCCCGCCGTCCTGGATCGGTTTGCAGTCCACCCTCCCGCTGCTGCACACGTAGTTTATGTTCGCCTGAAGAGCCGCGTCACCGGCGTCGCTCTTCGGCACGCACCACTTGTTTCCCATTCCTCTTCCCGCCCTCCCCCTCCCCCTCCCCCTCCCTCTCCCCCTCTTCCTATGGCTCCTCCCCGCCTCTCCCCCTGGCCCCGTCTGCATCACCCCCGAGTCGTATAGTGGCGTGAGGTCGGGCTTAAACAACCCAAAGTTCCGCTCGGCCAGTGGCCCGGGCTTCAAGTCCTCGTTGAACAGCGCGAAGATGTACGTCTCGATTGTCCGGTTCGGCATCAGCGGCGTCCCACGCCCGGAGTTCACGTGCTTTATCAGGTTCCCGTTGTAGGCCAGGGCGTCCGCCGGGCTTACCCCGAACTGGTTGTTGTCCGCCACCGTGGGCCAACCCGTCTCCCCCACCGCGATCGCCACATCGCCGTAGCCCAGCTTCTCCATGGCCGAGTGCACCGCGTCCAGCTGCGCGTCGAACATGTTCGTGTACGTGATTCCCGTCACCCGGTCGCGCTTTCCCCTATTGGGCCTGAACTGCGTGTAGGCGAGCGACGCGGGGTTGTAGTTGAAGTAGGGGTAGGGGTTCACCATGAAGGGAGTCCGCGTCTTGCGGTGGAAGGCCAGCATCGGGGCAAAGACCGACCGGTCGTAGCCTCTGATGAACCTGCCGGACGACGGTGGGTCAGAGGAAGACAGGATCCCCATGGAGTGCGGCGTGCTGACCCTGATCCTGTGGAAACCGGCCGCGGAGAGGGCGCCAGAGAGCGACACCATCGCGGGGACGAGGCGTTCCATGAGGCCAGCGTCTCCGGTATTGAGGATCTCGTTTCCGACGAGGACGAGGGTGATGCGTGTGGCGGGGACGAACGGGGCCACGTTGGCGGCTACCCAGGCGTCGGCCGCCTCGCGAGAGCTGGCGAAGGAGGGGATTTCGCCGTTGGGGGCGGTGATGGTGACAGAGATGGGGGTGCCAGCGAATGCGCGGATGATGTCGGGGTTGGCGTCGTAAAGCTTGATGCGGTCGATGATGGTGTGGTCCTTGAGGAAGGCGGCGACCTGGGGCGGCGGGGGAAGGTTGTCGGCGATGGTGCCGTAGTTCACGCCTATGGAGAGCCCGGAGACAGCGGATGCGGAGGAGAACAGGATGAGGACGAAGAGGATGAGGATGTCAGCATAGAGTTTGCAAGGTTGCTGAGGTGGTGGCGCCATCGGAGGGCGGGATGGCAGGGCCATAAGAAGGTGGTGGTGGCGAGAGTTTATCTCTATTTAAGCACGGTGTATATGATAAATCCACTCCCATTTTATATTAATGTGCTCCTTTCGAAGGAGAGGAAGAGAAGCGGAAGAAACTGAAGGCCATCTTAGTATATAACTAAAATCTGGCGTTTGTATATCTAATCTGCCTACGTTTAATGCGGTCCTCGTAAGAACGTTGACCGATTTTGACGCAAAATCGAATCCAATATTATCCTCGTTTATGTGGAATGCAAATCATACATAGAGAAGTGCCCCCTATATATAGCATAATTAACATATTGTTTTTATCTTGTCTATAAATACTTTGTTTCTCATCACTTTTTTGACCTAACAAAATTATAGATAGCAATACATAAAGTGGATTGTAATAGTTTTACAGGTGGTGCCGTCAAATACTGAAGTAATTATTTTTTTTCATTTGAATAGGAAAGATTAATATAGGCAAAATCTTTCTAAAACTATTATAATAGTTGTACTATTATAGTCATAACAATAATTATACTAGTTTTAATGTCTTAAAACTGTACCAAATATCTACGGGAAGACTTCTAACTTTGGAGAGAGACATATATATATATATATATATATATATATATATATATTTATTCATTTAATCAATGTTTGGGTTAGTTTTGTAAATTAGTATTTAGTAGCTGCATCAATCTCGCTGTATCTAATCCAATCTAACCACAGACAACAAACCCAATGCATGCCAATTGAGCTCCCTAATTTTTTGACACCGAATCCAAAGCAAGCACTGTTCCTCGTCCCTCTCACCAAATCTGACGGCCTCTACAAACCCGCGAAGGATCCGACGGACCACAACCGCCTCCCGATCCCCTCCACAAAATAGCGTGAGAGCGAAGGAGAGTGCCGTCTGACGTTCAAACTTTGCGCTCGCCAACGTAAACGACTCCGTCCGTCAGCTTCCGTTACGATAACTCCTATCCATACAAGGCCACACCTAACGGCACCGTCACCGCGTTGATTACCCTTTCCTCCCCCCCCCCCCCCCCCCCCCCCTCCCTTCCCTTTCGGTTCAGCGAGCGAGGCTTCGGTGTCGAAAGCCCTCGCGAGTCGGGAATCCCTCGAGCTCCCTCGACTCGAAGGTTTCGAATCCGATCTCTAGCTCTTATCCCGCTCACGCTGTAGCGGACTCCATTGTTTTAGCGATTTTGTCCGCTTGATCTCCTCTCGCACCGCTTTGGATTGTTCTTTTGCTGCGGTTTCGTTGATCTTTCCCGGTCTTGTTCTCCTTTTGTCGGTTCCAGACTCTAGTATTTGATTCGATTTCTGCTGATGCCGTTGGTGCTGGATTGAGCGGGGTCTACTGTTGCTTCATGTTGGGGACTTGGCCACCGGAACCATTGGTGATGTGGTTTTTGATATGATTTTGGGTTTATAGTGGATTCTTTGGGTTTAGTCTAATATATGATGGCTTGTTCGCGCAGAGATGAAGATACAGCAGAGTTGTGTTGAGAACAAGCAATCAGCTGTAGCCTCAATCTCATCCCTGTCGGAGGGAAGTTTTGGTTTGTCTAGGGTGTCGCCTGCCGTTTCTAGCCCACCGACATCTTTGCCGTCGAGGAGGTACTTCTCGACTCTTGGTGAATTTGATCTAGGGGACTTGTATAGTGCTACGTGTCTTCATGTATGTATCTCTTGTTTCCGTTAAAATTGGGTTCTCTCCTGGGTGAAAGATAGTTTCTTTGTAGTTTGTACGTTCCATGGGTAATGCAGATAAGAGTTAATTTAGGTCAATTAGTCATTTTTAGTTTTGGTTCCTATTTTTGTAATATATTTTGTGAATTCTAATAGTTCCTATAGGGTTTGAAATAGCAATGCATCTGCATTTCAGAAATACGCAGGAAGAAATTATCTTTACGGTAATTCAGTTGAAATAGAACTTCTTTATTTTATAATATGCATTTTCATAATAACTACTTACATACTATGGTTGGAACATTTCTTCTGGATCACAAGTCATTGTGATTTCAGAGCTGGATGTGTGCGTCATTCAAGTTGGGTGAAGTTTATCTAATTCCGAGGAGCATAATCAACTGTGTTAGCAGAGTGCATCTGCTAGTGATTTCCATAGTTTATTGTGATGAAAATGTTTCTAGAAGAAATACGAATGTTTGAGGTAAAAAAATCTTCAAATGGAAAATGTTTCTAGAAGAAAAAAAGCATTATTTTGTGATGTAATTTTCAGAGGTAATTTGTAATTACTATTTTGTTTGAGTAGTGCAGAAGATGAATTTTGAACAGTCAATTGATACATATCCAATGGTGAGTAGATTGTGTTTTTATGCAGGCCCTGGATTTTGCTCACCTTTCTAGATTTCATTCTTGTTTTACATATCTTTCTTTTGTTGGAAAATTGCAATTCTCTTTTGAGTTTTTTTTTTTATTTTGATGATTTAATCTTCAATAAGGATATTTGTATCAATCATCATTTTGAAAACTATGTTTACTAACTTATTTCTAATATTTTTATTTTATGTTATATTTAGGAGAACTAGTGGTCCTACAAGGCGAGCTAAGAGTGGTTGGACACCGCAGGATGTAAGTGGCTTATCATTATTCATGAGTTCTACCATATCTTTGTTTTAAGAATCACAGGCTAGTTAGAATTTCAATTAAATATATTTGAATTGTCATCTGATTCAGGCCTACCAATTTGCCATCTTTACTAAGTTTGACTAAAATATGCTATTCTGCAAGGCTCTAGAATTACCAAGTATTCGATTTTGTTTCAAGCCCAAATGGGTGCTAAAACTGGTTCATGATGTCAACCTGTTGACATGTCTATGGCATTCGAACTCATATTAACTTGAGAAGCATGGAGACTAAATTTGTATATGGGTATATAGATAAAGAAGAATTTTTTAATGAGTATCAATGAGTCACATATCATTATGTAAATCTAATATTGTGACATAAGCAGATATTCCTCTTTAGAATAAAACATGACCCAGTGTTGTTTCAACTATATGCTGAATTTTTAAAATATCCGAAAAAGCTTTGATTAGTGTTTGAATTTTGGACATGGGTCCAATATAATTTGTAAAGGGGAAGAAAAAGTTCCAAGTAACATTTATATTTTTTTTCAATTGGTATAATAGTGTCTGGCTTTAGAGGAATATGCCTATTTTTCTATCTCTTTTATTTTTTAGAACATTGGAAGGAAAATCTGACCAGAAAGTAATCAATTTAAGAGGAAATGTCCTTATATCTCCAGAATTGCAAAAGGTTATGCGGTGCTTGAGTTCTGTTAATTGTGCCTCCATCTTTATTGCCTTTGGATGAGGCCTTTTTAATTAAAGCTCGATGCTTTTGTGCTATAATTAATCTAAAGAACATGTGAATGAATGTTTTCTCATATTTTCATGCTATTTATATATAGTTCTGAATTTCTGATAACTTTTATTTAATTTGGATAGGATGAGACATTACGGAAAGCTGTTGAAGCTTACAAAGGAAGATGTTGGAAGAAAATAGGTATGGGGTGCCATGATATTTCTTGTTTGTAATTAACGACCCATAAACCAATATGGTCATTATTAGTTTCTTCTCTCCATACAATATATATATATATATATATATATACACACACATGTGTGTGTGTGTGTATGTGTGTATGTATGTGTGTGTGTATATATATATATATATATATACACATATACATTGTTAATATCTTTAAATCCCTTCAGTATGTATGTATGTATGTGAATGTTACCTTTTGTGATTAGAGAATGAATTTTTGTCTAAATTGTATTCAAGAGTGGAATGTTACCTTAATATCTTTAAATCCCTTCAGTATGGTTAATCTTTAAATCCCTTCAGTATGTGTATGTATGTATGTATGTAATAGTGAAAGGTTAATATCTTTTAAGTATACAATGAAAACCCAAGGCGTTGGACAGCAAAATTGGAAGGCAACTATATACTGAAGGGATCATAAAATAGTTGGATGCTTATGAGTAATTTGGTGGGCATTAGAAGTGTTATAATCATGTTGCCATCAGATTCTACAAATCAAATGTTCTGTTGCAAGTTTCAATTAATGATGTGGCTGCTTGCAGAAGTAGGGCTAGATTGGTGCCAAAAATTTCTCTAGCAGAGTGACCACTCTGATGGACAAATTAGGACAGTGATGATCTAATGGTGAGCTGACACATGCTATTGTGGTGCACACTTGTTAGTGGGCCTAAACCTCGTTCACATGAGACTGCAGTTGTTAACATGGGTTGTAGATGGACGTCACCAGGACCCTACATGATATCCTAATAGATTTGACATGGATTCTGCAGACTACATCCCATCAAAGAAGCATTACAAGTCTTTGAATGGAGCTTTGTGAAGTCTGGCATAAAAAGAACATTATAAGACGAAACTTTCTGAACATTCTGAATATCAGAAAACTAGATGCCTAGTGTAAATTCTATAGGTGCAACTAGAAACTAGTAAACAACACTGGTGATGGATATCCAACTTCAAAATGAAAACACGGTTCTGCAGGGCCTTTGCTGCTTTATCACAACAAAAAGGAAATACCAGCATGAATACATTTGCTGTTCAGATATAGGGATTTTTGCATAATGCTCCCCACCTTATTTGTTCTAACCAGGCCCCTCTTCAACAGGAATAAGAGAACCAGCCATTAGACCAGGGCCTGGTTGGTTAAAATACTCTAGAAAATCAAAGCGATTCCTCTGTATGAAATATTTGTCATTTTCCATTTTAGATTTTTTTTTAAATTTCAGGTGCTTGCACATACTAAAACATGACGTGATTTCTCCTATACTGGTGTCTTTATGTTTTGTGCTAGATCGTCTTGCATGGTGCCCCAAGTTATTATTTTGTCGTGTAGTTGTTGCAATGGCCTTTGAAGTTCAAATTATAAACACAAAAAAATTTAGGACCCCTGATAACAATCTGCAAGTTTTCAAGAATTTACTTTCAATCCTGTAGTACTGATGTATGTTATATGTGAGATTTATGCTGTTGATTTCTACCTGTCCAGCTGAATCTTTTCCTGATAGAACGGAAGTTCAATGTCTTCATCGGTGGCAAAAAGTTCTCAATCCTGAACTTATTAAAGGTCCATGGACCCCAGAGGTTTAGCTCTAACTTTATTTATAAGTTTGGTGTATCTTTAGAACATTAATACTTCAAGACACTTATATGTTCCCTCATGATTACAGGAAGATGAGAAACTCACAAGTCTTGTAGCAAAGTATGGGCCAAAAAAATGGTCTGTCATTGCAAACTCTCTTCCTGGTCGAATTGGGAAGCAATGTCGGGAGAGGTAAGTTCAGATCGTTTACTCTGTGATTACTGAAAAAGCATTCCCAATAATTAGTTTTGAGTTATACAGAATAATACTTTGTTATTCTTTTCCCCTTAGACTTTCTGTATATCATCATATATAGAAAGTTGATAACAGTTCAATCCTTGCTGGTTTTTTAAATCCCCATGGAACCCCTAAGGAGATCCTTTCTATAAATTTAAAAAGTTTTTTTGCTCTTCAAGTCAGGGGACAAATAAATAATAGTACACCTGGAAATTAGATTTGCTGGAACTTGCCCGATTTTTCCTAGGATAAAAAGCCTGGTGAACCAATCTTTCCTGTCTTCTATATAGAAGAATAAGACAGTTTTCAGGGAAGGACCTTTTGTTTGTCTTGCCTTTTCCTAGTATAAACTATTGTTTTTAATGTAAATGTAAAATTTGAGTTGAATGCTTGCTTCAATTATGGTTTGACAAGCTTTTTCTTTTTTTGGCTGATGTTCCATGTTCACTGTCAGTTATCTTTATTAAAGAATCAACACCACAGGCAGTCCCTTACATTTCTGAAAATAAAATTATATGATTAATGGACTTTATGCTTTTGATTCCTATTACCTGCCACCTATAAGTTCTTTAGGATGTACAGCGAGAACTTAATCTATAAATTCTACCATTTCATGATAAGTGTTCAGTATTATGCTTGATAAAACAGAACTTATGGTATTTAACATCCTTTTAAAAGAACATCTTTTAACCTCTTTTAGGTGGCATAATCATTTAAATCCTACGATAAATAAAGATGCTTGGACTGAAGAGGAAGAACTTGCCCTCTTGAATGCCCATCATATACGTGGTAATAAATGGGCAGAAATTGCAAAGGCCTTACCTGGAAGGTATTTGATTCTCATCTGACATGTTTATGTTTAACGCACTAGAATCAGTTTCATTAATATTAATATTTAAATAATTCAGGAATTGCTTTTCTTTTCTTGATAATGCTTTGTGTTGTTTATAAAGTACCATAATATTGTTCTCTATTTGAGCTATCAAATATAGAGTATTACGAGGGTAGATTGTCATGCTAGTCCTTTTGTGCCATCTAGCATGCACATAAGATATCAGTAGAGCACAAAGGATGGCAGCATAGTTTCATGTGTCACATGCGAGTTTGTGAGTGCCAATAGACATTGTCCATGGATCATATTTTGTATTGGAAAAAATTGATGTTTCACGGCATAGGAGCATATGTTGTTTCCCTTCTGGCATGATACAATCCCATGCCATATCGGTTGTCATTGCCCCATTCCTGGTTGCCAGTAACTAATGTTGACCTAACTATTAACACCTTTGACACTAAGTAGTGTCGTGTGTGCCTAGACCTTACTAGCATGGTAACTTTCGATCCATGTTGACATGTTGAATTAACTTAAATTAATCTCTTATTCTCTCAACTTATTGCAAAAAGTCGTCAAGTTTAACTGATTACTGTGTAATGCTAATCCTATTGTTCTCATACCTTTTCCTCAAATTAAATAGTTCTTTTACTGTATTTGTGGTATCTCATCCATGTTAGGCTTTTTTCTATAGGCATATTTGTTTCTATTTCTAGACACTGGATAATGTGAATAAATTTAATTAGCAATCTTATACAGTTAGTATTACATATCATACAATACTGCCTCTCTTTCAGGAGAACCTTGTTAATGTCTGGCTTTCATTTGCTAGCACTTCAAGGTTTGTTGTAATTTTCTGATCATTATCTTTGTGGCTAGGACTCACAACTCAATTAAGAATCACTGGAATTGTTCCTTAAAGAAAAAGTTAGATTTCTTTTTGGAAACTGGTAAGCTTCCAAAAGTTGTAAAACCTAAGATGCTTAATGGCTCAAAGGAAATAGCTGGATCAGCCAGTTCCACGTATTCTGGTCTGCCTACTGGACTATATAGATTGGAAGATAAAAAAAATTGGTTGGAACTGTCAGCAGTTCAAGAATCTAATGCTGAAGCTGTTAATAATTCTACTGTTGAAAGCAGTATGCTCACTCCACTATCTGATATCTGCACTATATCTGATTTGGGAACAGAGTTGGCAGAATGTAGTAACACAGGTGAGAATGATCAATTGAATGGTACATCTGCACCATCATTGCACCCGGCAGCTCCTAGTCTCCTTGGTGCTCTCTTTTGTAAGCCATCTCTGCCAGAAGATGTTTGCCATTCCAAAGATTCTGCTCTCTTCACCTCATATGACTCTACGCAACAATCACACTGCTCGTTGATTGTGAAACAGTCCAACGGTTATCTGACTCCTCCCTCTGTAACCAGTAATAATGGAGTTTTCTGTGTTAAATCCATATTAAAAAATGCAGCTAGAAGTTACCCACACACTCCATCTATCTTCACGAGGACAAAAAGGAATGCAGAAGCATCCCTTGCTTCTGATAGTACTTCACAGAAAAGTAGCGCAAAATTTCTGGACAGTTCTGATAATGTGGAGACAACCAACACCTCAGTGTCAAAATTCAGTTCGAGTCCTTGTAGTAGAGGGGCCATATTATTCAATGGGAAGAACTTCAATGTTTCTCCTCCATACAGGTTGAGGTCCAAAAGAACTGCAATTATCAAATCTGTTGAGAAGCAGCTTGATTTTGCATTTGAGGAAACTAATTGTGATGGTAATGCCAATCCCCTTAAAATGGCTGTGGCTAGCAGTTCTATTTTTAAATCCAGAAATGTCCTTCCAATCATATAGGAGAGGACTCATGGAGGCTTTGTCAAGTGCAAGGACAGAAAATGTAGAGATGGCCATGACCTGATGCACAAGTTGTAAGTACTTTTTGGAACCTTGCTTTGTTTTGATTGATGCATATTTTGATCAACACATATACCTCCCTATTGAGATTAGAAGTTACATCTTCAATGTATAATTCTGTTTGTTTACTTTAACCTGTTACTGAATTTTCAGTTTTACATTTTATATTATACTGTACTGGAAGCGTTCATAAATTGATTATGGATATTTCTATTCGGTAAACAACAATCTCCAATTTTACCGGTCTGTGTTAATGAGATCCTCTTCAACCATCCATAGCGACCTCCTTGTCTGCATCCATTTTACAACTCAATTGAAGATTTCTGCTAAACGGTAAGTATGATCTGGTTATTTGCTGATAACAAACTAGCCACTGACTCTTCTTGTTCCTTTTGCTAGTGTAGGTAAGAGTCTTATCTGGCCTTTGGAAGGTTGAAGATTTTATCTGTTTTTTCCGCTGTTTGATACAGAATGAAGTCTGAGTAAAAGATTTGGCAGATTGGTGATCTCTCTCATCTGGCCTTGGAAGGTTGAAGATTTAATCTGTTTTTTCTTCTGTTTGATACAGAGGGAAGCCTGAGTAGAAGATTTGGTAGATTGGTGATCTCTCTCTCCTTATAATTCTTAATAATTGGTTGGAATGCCAGAGAAACCTGTTGTGTTTCTCATCACAAAGTGTGCAGATGATGCCCCTTCTTTATGACCTTGCACCAAAATTTATGAAGATGTTGACACATCCAAAATACCTAATTAATTGTACATATAAACTCCTTCCGGTCTCTGAAAATGCTTTTATGGAAGCTTGATCACTATATAAATGCATGCTTGTATAGAAAATGTTCGAACACAAAAAATAAGAGTATTTTCTGAAAATAGGATGCACTTCATGACCCTTTTATGGTAAATTATAGATAGAATCTGATAGTAATATAAACCTCGCTAACTATAATGTTCAAACATGGGGGAATCAATTTGAGACGTGATAAGGGAAGATTATACCTAGTTGTTTATATCTTCAACAATGTTGTCAACTCATACCACAATCCCTTTGGCATAACATTAAAGAGGGATGTTTGAATTTAGCACATAATTAAATGCACGATAATACTCGGAGAGTTTAGGTCATCTTTGATTTTTCACTAACATTTCTAAGTTTTTTGGTTGTCTGTCATACTATAAAAACCGTTTCCATTTGAACAATAATAATTCATTCTTGATATAATCAAATCCTCTTTAGATTTTAAAGTTGAATCTCTCAAACCTCATTACTAACTTAAGCATCTGAGGAGTTTTTATAAGGTATGCCCTCAACGTAGACTTAAAAGGATCTCGGCCAAAGATTCAATGTTCTCGCTTCTAACTCGGCCAAAGATTAATCTGAGTTACCTTCAAGATTGGACAACCATAATTTATCATAATAGATTGACATTAAGAGGACCTTATAGAATATTTCAAAGAAATCATATTAAATCTCATTAGAAAAATTAGGATATGATGAATTTTTCGAATCCCCATTTGGGATCAGCACTATATCCTCTTCTTCCAATACCCAAATCCACCATGTTTCAACACCCCCATCAATTACTCCACAACCAAATCCTCCTCAGCCAATTATCGTAGTTCTTATAGAAGCCTAGGTCTCATGACAATTCCTATGTTACCATGGATGTAATCGATATGATTTTGTCCTCTTTCCTAAATATTTTTTATTAATTTTCTCCCATGACTTAATTGTTAGATTTCCTAATATGTTATTATGATTTAAGAAATAAATATTCAAGCTTCTATCTTTCTATGAGATATTTTAGTAAGGTTACTAAAATTCATAAATTAATTAATTATAAAACTAAAATATGTTCTTACTTTTTTTGGGAGAGGGCTCACCTCCCTTATTTAATTTAGTTGACATGAAATCATGTTAAATTAATATTTTAATATATTTTATGAGATTTTATTATTTATTTATTTATTTAATTTTATTTATGTTTACGATGATTCATATGGTTGGTTCAATCTCATTTGACATGACTGGATCCAATTAGTTTTACATTTAGATCAATGATTCTAGACCAATTCAATAAGGACGAGAAGCTAGCTCGATTGAGTGGTTCAAGTCAACTTAATCATTCTAGTTATTGTTTAGGTCAATTAAGGGTTGCTAGATTGATACCTCATGCTTTTATAATTTGATGAATTTGAAAATATTAGTCGAAGTTATGATTTAAAAAATAAATAATATTTTTTTTATTTTGAAATTAAGTTAATAATATTGATATGATTATTATTATGTGGCATATGTAAATATACTCAATAGTCTTAGCATATATATATATATATATATATATATATATATATATATATATATATATATATATATATATATATATCTCGGTAAAGCAGTTATACTTCTATCACCTAGCCCAAGAAGCGGTATCTTCTAACTTGAGAAGAGTCCAGTGAATTGCCTGATTGATCCACTTCTGTTCTAGTTGAATCATCCGTGAAGTCTACCTCTACCCTTGCTCAAACTCAACTTATTCTTGTCGGGTTGGGTGCTTGTAGCCCAATAATTTATTTATATTGAGCTCTTACTCCTATATATATATATATATATATATATATATATATATATATATATATATATATATCATAATTAGTTTGACTTAGACTTTATTTTAAATCTTATATCTTACGTGATATGGAGTCAACTTTCAAGATTGATCTATAAACTTATGTTCTTGGATTGAGTTGGTATTGAATTGATGTGCTAAATAAGGAGAATCGATATAACATCTCTAGCTTAGCAAGAAGTCGTACAATGCCACAATCTTATAAGTATCAAAACAAATTATCAAACCTCAGGCTGAAATAAAGATAATATTTGCATATGCATTGTCAAAAATAATTTTAAAAAATTTTAAAACTAAATAATATTCTTCCTAACTAATTTGTATCATTATATATATATATATATATATATATATATATATATATATATATACTATTTTTGGCTTGGTCCAATCGTCACTCCAAATATCAGAACAAATAATAGAACAAAGAACACAAGGAACCTTCTTTTACGTAACATCAAACACACGCGACTTCCTCATCTCACCTTTCAATCTTTTTCTTTGATCATTCCCAATCTAAAGTATCGCTCATCGATCGTTGCTTGTGCTTGATTCTTGATGTCATTCAAGATTACGAGGAGGACAATTAGAAGGAGGCATGCGAGAAGGATATCAGTGACACTATTTGATCTTGCTCGTCATTCATCACTCACGATTAGGAGAGAAAAAATGAAAAGGGAAAATGATAAGAGTATTTACATTAATTTATTGAGGGTTATCATAGAAATATTAAAAATTCTTAAAATAAAATTCTAAATAGCAAAAAGGGCTATCAAATAAGAAACTCCTAAAACAAACTCTGTCGTAAGTTTGAATATAGTAATATATATATATATATATAATCGATAATATGTCATTTATCAAAATATTTTAATGAAATAACTATTCTTGGCTTGGTCCAATAGCCACTCCAAATATCAGAACAAATATAAGAACAAAGAACACAAGGAACCTTCTTTTATGTAAACATTGAACACACGCGACTTCCTCATCTCACCTTTCAATCTTTTTCTTTGATCATTCCCAATCTAATTTCAATCTCAAGCAAAACATACTTCAATCTAATTGGAGTATTATTGCCTGCCAACTTTGACTCATAGCTAATATTGGCATAATAAACATCCCTAAAACTTAGAGAGAGAAAGTTGCTCAAGGCACGGGTTGGTAGTGTCAAATTCAGAATGGCAATTGAATCCTTAAGTCTTTATTGGATTCTGATTTGGATAAGAGATAAAACTAAAGGGAAAAAATATCCCTAAAGTGCAAGTTAATATAACTAAAGTAACCTTAGTTAGATCATGCATGGTTTGGAGAAGTCAAAATGTAAGATAGGTCGAAGAGGTCAACCTTCACCTTTTTGAAATGTATTAAATATTTATAGAAGGAGAAATCAAATTAACTATTAATTCTTGAAAAAAAAATTAGAAAATAATAATACATATTAAATATAATTAATGTAATATATTTTAGGGCGATTATATAAATCTTATATATTGGGTTATGAAATATATAAAGTTTTTAAAATTATATATAAAAAAAATTAAGGATAACAAAAAAGATTTTTGTCTTCTAAAAGGATTTCAATCCAATCCACATTGGAAATTTATTTCCAGCTACAAAGGTTTCAGTGGTTGAAGAATTGTAAGAGTAGGGCTGATGAACAATCCATATGTTCCCATAGATGGAATCGGTGGGATTTTTGTCCTCTTTCCTAAATAAAAAAAATTCCTTAATTTTCTTCACGATTTAATTTTTAGGTTTATAATCTGTGATATGATTTATGAAATAAATATTCAAGCTTCTATCTTTGTAGAAGATATTTTAGTAGGGATATTAAATAAAATAAAAATATAATAATTATGAAAATAAAATATTTTCTTACCTTTGTGGAGAGGGCTCGTCTCCCCCTATTTAAAGTGATTTTGTCTTCCTTATTCCTCGCAAAGTTTGGAAGCGAGATGAACGAGGATCGAAGACACTCTAAGTAGAAGTATGTTTTTTTTTTAATTGAAAGTTTTATTTTTAATTTCAAAAATATTTTATGTGTTTAGATTAAATCCATGTTGTGTTTACTTTGAGATATTATTTATTTACAGATTTTGATATCGAATATGATCATATTAATATATTTAAATATGAAATTATATTTATTAATAGATTTAATAGATTTTATGATATTTAATGGATTGAACAAAGCATCTCATACACTAACAATAGTATTTTAACATATGACTATGTATAAACAAATGAATAAATATAAATGAATGATTATGAGTATTACTAAGATGATTTCCTTCGAGAATAAAGCCTAAATAATTTCTATACCATTATTGGGAGTAACACATCCTCCCTTAGACATATGAGGGATAATTGAGTATATCATTTAGATGTCTTGTATATATTTTTTCATTTATTTGATGCGTGAGGTTCATAATAAATTGATATGTTATCATTTTATATTAAAATATTAATATAAAATAATTTAGATATATTTATATAAATATTAGATATTATTTTTTATGATTTTTTTGAATATTTTTTACTCAACTCAACATGTATGTTTGTGACATGAT